GGCCAGGTGGTGGCCAGGTGGAGGCGGGTTGGGGGGTCGGGGTCTGTTCCAGGCGGGAAATTACAGTGGCTTCAGAATTCGAAAGTGCTGGTCAGTATGAATTCCATCAAAAGGGTTCCAGTGGCCAGGAAGTGGCCAGGTGGAGGCGAGGTGGGGGTCGGGGTTGGTTTCAGGCGGGGAAATGCAAGGTTGGGTTGCCCACGAACTTAGGTTCGGAAGGTTGGGGTGTCATGGCCTGCTGATGACCAAGTGGTTGCGCGGTGGGGCGTGGGGGTGGGTTCTGGGTGAGAAATTGTCGGGTGGGTTCCGGGCGGGACATTGCAGGGTGGGGGGTCTCGAAAACATCGGTTCGAGATTGTCAGGATGCCGTGGCCAGAGTGTGAGCGCGTGTGTGTGTGTGTGTGTGTGTGTGTGCGCGTGTGGATCGGTTCTGGTTGGGACATTGCAGGGTGGGGAGTCCTCAAAAACAAGTTCCACAGGTGGTCGGGATGCCGTGGCCAGGTGAAGGCGGGGTGGGGGTCGGGGTCGGTCTTGGGTAGGGAACTGCAGGGGGGTGTCCAAAACAAAGGTTTCCAGATGGTGAGGATGCCGTGGGCAGGTGGTAGTCAGGGGGGCGAGGTCAGGGGTCCGGGTCGGTTCCGCGCGGGGCATTGCAGGGTCTGGGGTTCCCCGAGCACAAGGCTCCAGTTGCCAGGGTGTTATGGCCACGTGTTGGCCAGAAAGGGGCGAGGCGGGGGGTCGGCATCGGCTCCGGGCCAGAAATGGCAGGGCTTGGGGTCAAAAAGATTCCAGATGATCAGGATGCCATAGCCCGGTGGTGGTTAGGTGGTGTCGAGGTGGGGGATCGGGGTCGGTTGTGGGTGGGAAATTGCAGGGTGGGGGGAATGGAAAACAGAGTTCCAGATGGTCAGGATGCCGTGGTCACGTGATGGCCAGGTGGAGGCGAGGTGCGGGGTCGGTTCTGGGCGGGAAGTGGCAGCGTGGGGAGTTCCAACAGCATTGTTCTAACGGCCATGTGGTGGCCAGGGGCACGCGAGGTGGGAGGTCGCGGTCGGTTCTGGGCAGGTAATCGCAGGGCGGGCCCGGGGGGCCCAAGAGCTCAGGTTCCGGCGGGCCGGCGTGCCGAGGCCAGGTGGTGACCAGCTGGTGGCGCGGTGGGGAGTCGGCGTGGGTTCCGGGGGAGAAATTGCCAGGTGGAGGTGCCCACGAAGAGAGGTTCCAGAAGGTCGGGGTGCCAGGGCCTGGTGGTGACCAGGTGGAGGCCAGGTTGGGGGGTCGGGGCTGGTTCCGGGTGAGAAGTTGCCGGGTGGGGGGCCCAAGACCAGAGTTTCCAGGGGATCGGGGTGCCGGGGCATGGTGGTGACCATGTTGTGGCGAGGTGGGGGTTCGGCGTGGGTTCCGGGCAAGAGCTCGTCGAGGATGGCGGGGCCAGGCGGGGAGCCCATGTCGGAGACAGGGGTGGATGCTGCGCCAGGAACTGCCGGATGGCATGTGAAGTTGCGAAGCAGTGCCCGCACGCGTCTAGGGTCGGCGGGTGTCGCAGATAGCACGCGCCAGTAGTAATAACACGCCACATTCTCACGCATCTCTGTGGTCGGGGGATTCTCGTCGTCGTCGCCTTCGTCATCATCGGCGCCACCACCACCACCATCATCATCATCACCACCATCATCACCATCACCATCATCATCATCATCATCATCATCATCATCATCATCATCATCATCATCATCATCATCATCATCATCATCATCATCGTCGTCATCGTCATCATCATCAACATCATCATCATCACCATCATCATCACCATCATCATCATCATCATCAGCATCATCATCATCATCATCGTCGTCGTCGTCGTCGTCATCATCAACATTATTACCATCATCATCCTTATCATCATCGTCGTCGTCGTCATCACCGATGTCGCCGTTACCATGAGTACCCGCCCGCCCGAGACATGGTTCTGTGCGAGAAGGGTTTTCGCGTCATTGCGCCAGTTTGGTTTTGCCAAGAATTTGTAGGCGCGTGGGTGGGGTGTTTACTCGATCACTGGAGTTGGTGATTTTATCGATTCAGAGTTTGTTACCCCACACACATTCCATTACGTATGTGTTGCATCGCACAGGTTGCGCCAGGTACATTGCAACATCTGGGGCCATGCAGACACAGCGCAACAAATGCCGCACATCAAGAGCGCAACTCACAATGTTCTGTCAATGCTGATGAGTGTACACGTGTCAGATGCATACATGTATGCATCGATAATATATGAAAAAGCGCCTTCTGTGGACGCTGGGAAGGAGGGGAGGGTTCGAGCCGCCCCCCCATCCGTTGCAGGGGGGGTTCGAATCGGCCTCCCCGCTGACAACCGACGACGGCGAGCGGGGTCGAACCACCCCCGGCCCCCTTCACTGGCAACCGACGACGGCGAGCGCCGGCGCACGTGCCAGCGCCATCGGGCAGCGACGACGAAACGTCGTCGACGACGACGACGATGGCGATCGAGCCCTAGTGGGATGCTATTGAAGCTGGGTCGAGCCCCTGTGGGATGCTTTAAAATAGTGTCGAGCCTTAGCAGGATTCCTGGAACATTGGATCGAAACCTCATAGGATTCATTCAGGGCTGGATCGAGCCATTATTGGATTCCGTTAGCGGTGGACCCATACTTCGAAGGGAAAAATTGTAGAGCTGGATTGAGGCCTGGTAAGGATTCGGTGTAAATGCTGGGTGGTGCTTCGGTAGGATTCCATTGGAGCTGTAGCTGGCCCTGCCAGGATTCTGTCAGAGTTGGACCAAACCCTGCTGGGATCCTGCTGGATCGAGCCCTCGTAAGATGCTATTTTTGGAAATGGCGCAAGACAACAGTGGATTCTGTGGAAGCTGGGTCGATCCCTGGTAGGATTTTCTCGGAGCGCCATCGGCCCTCGTAGAATTCTGTTACAGCTGGATCGACCCCTAAAAGGTATGCGTTAGAGTTGGACAAGATTTATAAGGTTTTGGTTCGAAGTGAATCAATCCCTCGTAGAATTCGATTAGGGCTAGGTCGAGCGCCAGTGGGATTTTCTTAGAGCTGGATCCAGTCCCGTTGGGGCTTTATTTGGGTTGGATCAACCTCTAGTGGAAGCGTTTGAGAGCTGAGTCCAGTCATGCGAGGATTCTATTTGAACTGGATCGAGCCGCGGTAGATGCGATTACAATCCGATCCAACCTTCATGGGATTGCATTGAAGGTGGGTCGAACCTGAGTAGGATTTGATTATGAGCTGGATCCAGCCCTGACAGGATTCAAATATCACTGGATCGAACCCTCTTTTGTTGTTCTATTTTTATATAATTCACATCGATTAGAGTTGGATCATTCTCTAGTCGGATTCGGTTCGACTAGCTCCAGTAGGTTTCCATACCGGGTACGTTTCTTTAGAACTGGATCGAGGCATTGTTTGATCATGGTAGAGTTCGATCGAACCTTCATAAGATTGCACGAAGTTCGGCCCAGCCTTAGTAGTACTAACTTACTCGTGCTGGATCGAACCCGAATTGGAATCTATCAAAGATGGATCGAGCCCTGGTAGGATCCCGTTAGAGTTGGATCCAGCCTTGTAAGGGTTGTATTTGGGCTGGGTCCAGCACCAGTAGGATCTGACTAGAGAGCTGGATCGAACCTGGTAGGATTGAGCTAGACTTGGCTCGAACTCTTGTACGATTCCATTAGAGCTGGGTCGATCATGACAAATACTCGTGCCGGGCGCAGGCGCCGGCGCCACGTGCGCCGCCTCCGCCGCTAGTAGTGTAGCCCACCGAATGCTCTCTGAATGCGCACCTAGTGTAGCCCACCGCTTGTGGAACGATCGGTGAATTCGTCGTTCATGCAGTGTTGAAGTGTCCGCCTGGCCGTGTGATATTGGATAGCGGAGACAGCGTGCCCCCTCAATTGACAGTTTGTTCCGTCGCAGACCGTTTACGGAGAGCTCCCCATCGTCGAACTGACCAGAATGTTGAAATAGTGCAAGAGAGTTTGCGTTTTTGAGCAGACGGAAACAGGGCGACGGAAGCTGAGGCATGAATTGAAGTTAGATGCGGGCGGCGAGGAGGGGAAGAGTTGGCAGGCTCCCTCCGCGTCCATCCACCACGACGCGTACTTCTTTCCAGACAAGGAGGAAGAAGACGAAGAAGAGGAGGAAGCCAGGTACAAGGCCTCATGCTCCATTTGTGTCGCTGTCACCTCGATTGTTATGCTTCTCGACCCAGTTTCGCATGGTCTGCGGGTTTCTTATTGGAAACCAATATGCTGGGCTATTGGAGTTTTGCCTTCCTGTTTCCCACACGCGCAGGCAGCCAGACTCGAAGCCGTGCTACGGTGCCGAAACAGAGACGTAATATCGAAGCTTCTTCGGGTGGTTTTTGTCGGCAGTCGGGTGCATGAGCCCCGTTGCGTGACAATCCCAGCCTCATCAGCGGAGCTGTGGCTCTGCCGACAGCTGCTCGCACATCAGGAAGATAGTGTCCAGCATCATGCAGGGAGGATCGGAGACTGCCCTTCCTGGGCCTCGAGGGGCACATGTCCTAGTAGGGCCTCTTTTGATCCGATCCATTTGATTTGACATTGAGTTCAGTCGTCTCGACCTCGTTCGGCTCCGAGCTTCTGGCCATGAGGTGCGGCCCGATGCTGCCGTGGCGCTCTTGTGCACCCTGTCGTGGCCGATCTTACCTGATCTTGACGCCGAGCCGACCCGATGCAGGTTCCGACCCGATCCTACCCACCGCCTCAATTCATCGAGAACAAAAGGACCCCTAACCCTGAAAGCACGATGCAGACGTGGCCTCACTTGGGTCCCCGTCTTCGCATCAGGGATGATAGATCTGGGCGGTTTGGTCTGATACATCTGCAGAAACGACCCCCCCATCCCTGATTTTTTGGCCCTCCTAATTTGGAGCCCCTCCCTAAGGGTTAGGGGCACTTTGAATTGCTTATCGTCGAGGCCAACCGCCCCTGCCCCAGCCGTTCTGGCCAGAGGCGCGCCTTTTCCCGCCCAGCGGACCGCCCCGCACAGCCCAGCGGCCCGAGGGCCCGCCGCAGTTGCGGCGAGTCAAGGCGCTGGCGGCGCGCCTGCCCTGCTGCAGAGGGATGCCGTGGGCGAAAACATATCCTCTGCCTGCACGACGAGCCGTGCATTCGTCTCTCCCCCTCTCCCGCTCTCTCGCCGCCGCCGCTGCTGCTGCCGCCCCCGTTGTCTTTTCCCCTCCGCTGTGTTGCCGAGTTGAGCGCCAGGGATCGCTAGGGCGGGCCCGTGCCGAAACGAAACGAAACGAAACACATATCCGTATCCACGGTCTCGCGGGGCCCTCGCCGCCACGGCTAGATTCGCTTCGACATTCTCGTCGGCACGCGCCCCAGGAGAGGCGCAGTGAGCAGCGGCATAAATCGCGAGGGAGGGGGGCGGCGGCGCGCGCCAAGATCCGCGGCAAGGCAGAACGGCGCGCCATACTTGAAGCCTGCGCGAGGTCATCCTGGTCCCCACCCCCTGTCGGTCTCCGCCGCCTCCTCCTCCTCCGCCTCCTCCTCCTCCTCCTCCTCCTCCTCCTCCTCCTCCTCCTCCTCCTCCTCCTCCTCCTCCTCCTCCTCCTCCTCCTCCCCCTCTCCCTCCTCCTCCTCCCTCCTCCTCCTCCTCCTCCTTCTCTCCTCCTCCTCCTCCTCCTCCTTGCCACGTAGACTGTGGCGATCATGACACTCCTGACACTCCTCTCCTCCTCCTCCTCCTCCTCCTCCTCCTCCTCCTCCTCCCTCCTCCTCCTCCTCCTCCTCCTCTCCTCCTCCCCCTCCTCCCCCCCCATGCTCGCCGCTTGTGAGGATGCCCCGACCCGGCCCGCCGCCAGCGCACGCGCCGTGCCGCGCGGGCCCCGCCTGCGCGGGCCGCGGCGGCGCCCCGCCCGCGCGGCGAGCGCGGCCCTGGGCGCGCCGCGCCCTGGCGGCGGCCACCGCGGCGCTGGCCGCGGCCGCGGCCTGGCCAGCCCCAGCGCGGCGCGGCGCTCGGGTGCTCGCGGAGGCCAGCGAGGCGTCGGGGGCAGCCAGGAGTCAGAGGAGTGCCCAGACATAATCGCGTCGCTGTAAAAGCAATCATGTCGGGAGGTTTTCGGCCGTTTTCGGCCTCGAGGGGCCCCCAGTCCTTGGGACCGTCAAAAAACCGCTCAGGACGAAGAACCGTGGTCCCGGGGAAAGGGTCGGGACATCCAGGGACCCCGCATTGAAGAAATCAGGACGTCGCATGTCTGGCCCATACCGCTACCCTCCGCCCGTTTTTCCCTTCTCTTGGCCTCCTCGGAGGCCTTCGTCGCCACCTTCGGATTCGCATCAGAACGCACCCCAGGAGAGGTCCGGGGCGTAGCGGGATCGGTACATTGTGGTCTCCCCACAGGGGGATTGGCTCGAGCGTTGAGGTTCCAGGCTTTCGGGCATTCTCGCTGGCTCTCCACATTTCCGCCCCTATCACCCTGCCTGTCTCACACTATTTTTGATGCGCTCGCTTGCGGAGGCTGTTGTCGTTGGGATGTCCGATTTCCTCTCTTCCAAAGGAGGGAAAACACAGACACAACGAATCGTCGATCCCCAGGAACATCTGGGAAAATGTGGGAAGTGGGGGGGAAGACGAAAGTCCAGAGGATATGAGAAAATCTCGGGAATCCTGGATTTCTGTGCATTTCTCTGTGCGTCCCTGGGCCCCTTCACAAAATTCTCTGCGTCGTCTGGGGCCCTCCCCTTAAGTCGTGCCTGTGCCTTTACAGGAGGTATATTCAATAGGCAAAACATAGTCAGGGGACGATTTTTTGAGTATTTCTTTGATCATTTATTTATTCTTATGTTTTGACCATTTTCAATTTTTCATCGAAAATCCTCCCGTAGGGGGACAGGCCCGACTTGACCCTCCCCCCTCCTTGGACGCCGCCCCGAGAGGCGGGCTCCTACGACCTGGACGGCGCGGTGGCGCAGCAGCGCCAGGCGCGGGTCCGCGCCGCGGTCGCGGCGCGCCTGGCCGCGCAGGAGGCGGCGGCCGAGGCGAGGGCCGCGAAGGCCAGAGACACCGAATCTACTTTCAACGCCTTTTTACTTCATGTTTCTACCTACTTCTTCCGACCGACGGGTACTCGCGTGGCGCGTTTTTGCCCCCCTGTCCGCCCCCCCTGCCTCCCCTCGCCGCCTCTTCACTCAGCACCAGGCCGAAAAACCGGGCAAAAGTCCAGCTTTCTTGCAGGGGCTCGCGGGGGAGCCCCCCTCCCCCTCCAGGCAAGCGAGCTTGCCAGAATCTAGTTGGAAACGTCAGGCGATCGCAAACATGGATCCAGGGGGGCGTGGATAAGCGATGGGTCCCGTTGCCATGGGAGATCGCGGATTTCCGCCGCCGGGCGAGGCGTCACCGGCCGCATTTTGGGGAGGGCGCGTCCCCCGATCCATGGACTTGGCGACCGCGCACCAAATCCGTGGATCGCTAATCCATGTTTGCGCGCCCCCGAAAGAGGTACGGACGAAATCGATGATGAGGATGGTCAGCCTTCCCCAGGGTACCTTGGCATTCTGGCCTCTTCGGCCCATCCTTGACCACTTTCGATGGCGGCCAGCCCTGCTCGAAAAGTGTCGGCATGGCCTTCCAAGGGGCTTGCATCCTCATCGCGCATCCTTACGCCCAATTTTGACTACATTCCGAATCTCATGATGACGGGGGGAGGCGCACACCTCTCAGACGAGCAATTCCCCTCCCCCCCAGGCCAGCCATGGCAGAGCGGCCTTGTTTTGCCCAGACCCTCTGGAACCCTCCAAGACAGCCCAAATCAGACCCACCCCCAAATCAGACCCTCCCTTGTGCGATGAAGTTCGGAGCGCCCATCTACTGCTGCCCTTCCCTCATGTTCGCCTTTTCGGGCCTCCTGGGAGGCCCTTGTCGCCACCGCTGGATTCGCGTCGAGACCCTGGTCAGAACGCGCCCCGGAAGAGGTCCCGGGGCGTAGCGGTACCGGTGCCCTGTCTTTGCCCCAGAAAGGAGGCGGAGACGCACTGGCACGGCGTCGGCGGCGAGCAGGAGGGCGCCGTCAACGCGGAGGACGAGGCCAGGCGGCTGGCCGACGTGGAGGCGGCCACGAAGCGCGCCGCCGAGATGAAGGTGGCCAAGCAGCTGGCCTCGGACCGCGCCAAGGCCGCCAAGCAGGCGCACCGCGCGAGGGAGAAGGCCGCCGCGGCCGCCCAGGCGGCCAAGGAGGCGGAGGGCAAGGCCCTGGCCTCGGCCGACATCGAGGAGAGGCGGGCGACGAGGGAACGCGGGCCCGTCTCTCCGCGGCCAGCGGCGCGCAGGCTGCGTCCGCGCAGGGCCGCGCGCAAGCGCCCGCGTCTCCGACGCAGCGCGCCGCGCCGCGGCGGCCCGCGTGCGCTACCGCGTGAGGTCGCCGTGCCGTCGCGCGCGAGGCCCGTCTCCGATCGTCGCCCAGGTGGCTCGCGCGCACGCCGGGGGCGCGAGAGGTCGAGGCGTGAGGGCGCGGGGGGGCGTCGGCCGGCCGATCCTGGCCGCTCCAGGCCAGGCACCGATGGCTGCCCCAGGCCAGCCGGGCCGGTGCCCGCGCCTCCCGAGCCTCAAGCAGTGGCGAAGCTACCAAACAATGTTCTAATTGTGGCTCCCACGAAAGGTTCTTAGAACATTCCTGGCCGGGGCCGTCCTTTTTTTACAAAAAAACACATCGGGCTTCTTTTCTAAGAACATGGGTGGGTTCTAAGAGCATGTCGTGGCAGGCCTATAGCAATGCCGGGACGGTCGGCCCCTGCTCAAAAGCCGGGCCCGGGAGGGCCCGCGGGCACCACGCCACCCCAGGCGGTCAGGATCCCCCCGGGCGGCGGGCGGGCTCTCCGCCCGCTGGGCGTCGCGGCGCGGGGGCGCCCGGGGACGGGCTGCCACGCTTGTGCGCACGAGGGCCGCCTCGGCGTGAGCACGTGGCACTCATGGCTCGGTGTGGTTGAACCGATCCCCGTCCCCATCCCCATCCCCTTCGAGGCCCCCACCAAATTGCCACCCCAGCTGGGGATACCCCTCGAAGCCCGAAGGGGACGACCTGGATCCCCATCTATGGGGGTCATTCGGCCGGTGGGGCCCAGACCACGCCGCTGGGGATGGGGATCCGTGAAACGATACTCAATAGCGAACGGGGCCAGGACGAGGACAAAGCCGTTCCAGAGCGTTCCGGCACGCTCTGCGAAGGCCGCGGCGCCCGGTACACCTCCTCCAGAGCCGCCGGGTCTCAGAGATGGTCGATGCATTCCCACCCGAATGCATCCTCATCCTGGCTTCGTCTCAACTAATCCTTGATGCACCGCTCGTCAGGGTTCGGTCAGCAGCGCGACCAGCATCCGAGGCCCCCCTCTCCCGGGGCGCGACGAGTGCGCTCCCGCCGCGCTCGCTGTCATATAGTGTGCCGGTGCTCGCTGGCGTCCCCTGGTCAATTACAGTGCTGGTGTGTCCCCCTCGGATTCTTCGGCAATCGGGTCTGCAGGCCCTGAGGCGTGTGCCTTCGCTCGCGCACCTGAATTCGTGGAGCTCGGTCCACCCGTCGCGGGCGAGTCCGCTCTGCCGGCGGCACCTCCTGGCAAAAACGCTCCCGAGGGCCCCCTTATAGGCGGGGACGCTGGCAGCCCAGGGCGTGCGCCTGCCCGAGGCGGCTGCGGCCGTGGGGCGTCGGGGCATTCTCCGCTGCTCGTGCTCTCCGGCTGGGATCTTCAGGGTTCTGGTCAGCGGTGTCCTGGCCTATGGGGGCCCTGACGTTCCGCCGCTTCCGCCGGGCATCTCTCTTCGAGCGCCCCGTGCGGCTGAAGTGCCGCAAGGGCGCATGTAACCATAGCCACGCCCGCCCGGCGTTTCACCTGCTGTCTCCTCTTCCAGCTCATCCCGCTTCTCCACTCTTCTGTTCTCGAAGACGAGAGACGGGCATGCGCATACACTTTCGGAGCTCCGCGCCAGGGGCGGCGCCAGAGGGATCTCCTGCGGTGGGGGGGACAGCGCCGGGCCAAGAACCTTGCGCGGACCACGTATGCAGTTTTGTGCTCCCCTGGTTTCTGTTCGGAGGCCAAGCAGGTGTCACCAGCACGATCAACGGCCGCCTCGCTCGAGGTGTTGGTGGCAACTTCTTTAGGCTTGAGTCGGGCCTATCCCCTCTACAGGAGGAATACTCAAAAATAGTCCAATATGGGGTAACTTTTTGGGAGGGGGGGGGGATTTTTCATGTTTCGCCCAGAATCCGCTTGTAAGAGGGCAGGCCTGACTTCACTTTGGGCCACCAGCGCCGCGATTGGCGGTTTGGTTTCTCCCTGTGAAGGCGACCCGCCGATCTGGGAGTCGGTGCCAACTTCTGGCCCGCCCTCCTCACGAATCGACCCCTGCGGCCCCTCCCCCCGACCTTGATGGGCCTGTTTTCCACCACCACCACCACCGTAAGTTGGAGGGGGGAAGGAGGTGGAGGAGGAGGAGGAGGAGGAGGAGGAGGAGGAGGAGGAGGAGGAGGAGGAGGAGGAGGAGGAGGAGGAAGAGGAGGACCCCCTCCCACTTCAACTTGTGGTGGCGGTGGCGGCGGAAAACAGGCGCCTCCCCCCGACCTGTCCTGGAGGGCGTTCTGGCTGGGGCCCCCCGGGGCGGACGTCGGCCGTGGCGACGAGCACGGCCCCGCGGAGCCCCAGGAACGGCAGACGGCACCCGCATCCCCAGACCTCCGACGCCGTGACTGTTCCAGGGCGTGGCGCCCAGAGAGCACTTTTCCATCCCCTGGCGATCACGGGCGCGATCGCGGGGGAGTGGGGAGGGGGCGAGGGGTTCCAGTAACGTTCCGATTCGCGCCAGCGCCGTCGGGGATTGCTTCAGAGCTGCCCATTCCCAGACGGCGCCTGCGCGAGTGACGTTACCGGGGAGGGAGGGGGTGGGGGTGGAGGGGCTGGTGACGGGCGTGATCCCGAACACGAACAGAAGGGCACCTCCCCCGCACTCCTCGACCCGTCCCCATGGGACGGCCGGGGGCTCCCCGAACGGCCCGGTGACCACGCCGTGTGCTGAGTCAGTGGGGACTCGGGGTGGCCGCAAAGTTTTGGGACTCGGGGGTCGTTCTCCGAGGACGTCTTGGGCGACTGGGGCCTGTGAGGTCCCAAAACAGACGGTGGGGGCCCTACCCCTACATACCTTCAGACCCACAGACCCTAGGGTTAGGGTTAGGGCCCTACAGACCCTAGGGCTAGTGCCCTGACCCTACAGACCCTACAGACCCTACAAACCCTAGGGTTAGGGCCCTCTGGGGCCCTAAACCTACATTCCCTAACCCTACAAGCCCTAACCCTACATACCTATAGGGACTGTAGGGTTAGGGCTTGTAAGGTTAGCATCTGTAGCGTTAGGGTCTGCAGGGTTAGAGTCTGTAGGGTTAGGGTCTGTGGGGTTCGTGGTGTCTGAAAGGTTAATGTCTTGGAAAACGCAGGAAGGAGGAACCTGGAGTTGCACAGAGTAGAAAGAGGATACTCAGATACATGTTAGCGAACGTTCGGGGAGCGTGTGTCCATAGATATCCTTTGTGAACGTTCAGTGAGCTTGCGTACATTACATTTAATCGTGATGATGCTGTACGTTTTTGCGCACCTGATTGATTTTCCGCGCTCCCCGTACATGTCAGGAGCTGTTTCCCAAAAGGGCGTTTCGCCTGAGACATCCTCTCCCAATCGCGATCTTGGGGATCGTATCTTAAGGCGCCCTATGCTGGACATGAGCGTTTCGCCCGCCCGAGACATCCTCGGGCAATTGAGATGTTGAAATCGCTGTCCTAATCCTCGGACCTCCCAATAAGAGCATTTCGCTTGAGACATCCTTGCAAACATGGGATGTTGGAAGAGCTGTTCTAAGACGTTTTATGCTCGACGCTGGCGTTTCGCCCGAGACATCCTCGGAAAATGCGGATGCTGAAAGCGCTGGACTAATCTTCGGACCTTCAACATTAGCCGTTTCGCCTGAGACATCCTCGAGCAACATGGGATGTGCCAAGAGCTGTCTCGAGACATTTTTTCGGAGCGCTCTTGGCTGACCTCCGAGATGGCCCAAGAAGCAAACTCATTTCCAAATTATTGAATTACACATGGTTTTTAATACTTATGTTTAAACGTGAGGGTTTCGCTCGAGACATCCCCTTCAAAATGCCTTCGGATGGCTCCTCGAAACCATCAGATCATGATAGGAATGCTGGTGATGACGATGATGATGATGATGATGATGATGATGATGATGATGATGATGATGATGATGATGCTGATGATGATGATGATGACGATGACGATGACAACACCGATGACGATGATGATGACGGCGACGATGATGGTGATGATGATGAGGATGTCGATGTTGCTGATGATGCTGATGCTGATGCTGATGATTGTGATTATGCTGATGATGATGGTGCTGATGATGATGGTGGTGGTGGTGGCGGCTATGTCGATGCCGCTTATGTTGCGAAGCCGATGTTCATAATGCTGCTGATGCTGGTGATGGTGTTGCTGAAGATGATGGTGACTATGCTGGTGATTGCGATGAGGATGATCTTGCTTGGGATGCTGCTGCTGGTGATGTTGGTGACTATGATGTGATGGGGTGCTGGTGATGGTGACGATGATGGTAACGATGATGCCAGTGAGGGGGGGGGGGACGGAGGAAAGTGAAGGTGCACAGAGGAGTGAGAGGATACACAGAAACATGTTTTCGAACGTTCGAGTAGCGCGTGTCCATAGGTATCCGTTGTGAACGATCGGAGGGCTCGCATACATTACATTTGTTTGTGATGGTGCTGTACGTTCTTGCGCAGCTCAACGCGTCTGACTCGGGGGCATGTCGCGAGATTCTTGGAAGCCATCCAAGTTTTTGTACATCGCAGTAAGTCATATTGGACGCTCTGCCACCTAGATGCCCGCGTGGTCCGCCCGTGCGTTCACCTATGTGTCCACATCGCTCGCTCGTGCGATCTGCCGCTCGTGTGCCAACATTGCGTTTGAATTGCGGCGGCGACGACGACAGGAAGTAACTAAGAAGGTCATTGCATATTCGTTCCGCTGAGAGCTCGTTTGGGGCCTCTCGGGGCCATCGCGGGGCCATCGTGGGGCCTTCTGAAGTCGCCCAGGTTTTTGTTCTGCATCATCGTAGGTCAGATGGGACGCTCTGCCACCTGGTTGTCCGCGTGGTCCGAGAGCGCGTTTTGCAGCAATGTGTCCACACATGGCTTCCTGGTGTGCCGTGCTGCAGGGGTGTGGGAATCGTCCTTGATTCGCAGTAAGTCGTAAACCGTAGTAGTAGATTACTGGGGACGCGCTGTCACATATGTGTCCACGTTGCACGCTCGTGCACCCTGCCATCTATGTATACAGTCGGCGTCATGTTATACCGTGCCCTAAGGGTGCCTGATTCGCCACCCCATTCTCAGCAATTTGTGAACGTAATAAATCAGAAGGGATGGTATGCCACCTATGTGTCCACATTGCTCGCTCGTGCCCTCCGCAACCCATTTGTCCACATTCGGCTGTCTGGTTTGCGCTGCGAAGGCAAGGTGTTTGACACGCCCCCCGTTTTCAGGAATGTGTAGGTGTGCTAGGTAAAATGGTAAAGATGTAAAGATGATGATGGAAGGGAGGGGGGGGGACGGGGGATGTGGAGGTGCACAGAGGAGTGAGAGGGTACTCAGAAAGATGCTTGTGAACGTTCGGGGGGCGCGTGCCCATAGGTATCCGTTGTGAACGTTTGGGGGGCTGGCGTATGTTACATGTGATCGTGGTGGTGCTGTACGTTCTCGCGCAACTTATCGCTATTCTGCGCTTCCCGTTCGTGTCAGGAAAGGTTTCCCCAAATGGCGTTCCGCCTGAGACATTCTCTCCAAAACGCGACCTTGGGGATCGTATCTTAACACGCCTTATGCTAAACATGAGTGTTTCGCCTGAGACATCCTCGGCACATTGGGATGGTGAAATCGCTGTATGTGTTTCGCCGGGGACATCCTCACAACAATGTGATGTCGAACTAGTTGCTCTAAGATGTCGTGCGCTAAACGCTAGCGCTTCGCCCGAGACATCCTCGGAACATGGGGGTGCTGCAATCGCTGGCCTAATCTTCGGAATTCCAACATTTGTTGTTTCGTGTGAGGCATCCTCGAGCACATGTGATGCGTCAAGGGTTGTCTCGGGTCATCCTTTCAGAGCGCTCTTGGATGACCTCCAAGGTAGCCCAAGCAGCGACTTTATAGGAACAATTTATGGTTGTGTTACCACTGTTGTTTAACAGTACGCGTCTCGCTCGAGACATCCCCTTCAACATGCCTTCGGACGGCTCCTCGAAACCATCAGACCATGATAGGGGATATCGGTGATTATGCTGACGATGACGATGACGATGATGATGATGCTGCTGATGATGCTGATGATGATGGTGGTGATGATGATGATGCTATTGATGATGGTGATGATGATGATGGCGATGATGGTGATGCTGATTCTGATGATTATGATGCTGATGTTGGTTCTGCCGATGCCGCTTCTGTTGCGAAGCCGATGCTTCTGATGATGCTGATGCCATTGGCAGTGATTGTGACGGTGACGATGACGAGGATGATCCTGCCTGTGATGCTGCTGCGGGTGATGATGGTGACGAACGATGATGCAGGGCTGGACCTAAACGGTGTTTTGGCGATGTCGTGGACCGTTTTCGTTTCGACTTCGTTTTGCGGTAGAGGCGGATTGAAGACACAACGAGGGAAAGCGATAACAAAACGAAAACGAAAAACACCGTTTAGGTTCAGCCCTGCGATGATGTGATGGGGTGTTGGTGATTTTGACGATGCTGGTGGTAAGTATGAGGATGCAAGTGAGGGGGGTGGGGGCGGAGTAAACTGGAGGTGCACAGCGGAGTGAGTGTATACTCAGATGCATGCTTTTGGACGTTCGGGGAGCGGGTGTCCATAGGTGTCCGTTGT